ACCACCAAAAAAGTAGACTCTACTCGTTTTATCTACTATATATTGTAATATACTCCACTTTGGACATTTTATATAGGTATTTCTTTATATTGTACGAATAGAGTTTTCTAACTTCATAGTTACAATTTTCAATTAATACCTCTCCCTTGCTGCAACGTGGGTGCCGTTGTGTCACTGACTACGACGGTTATGCTCACAGTTGCTGCGATATCACGATCCAACGATCTAACGACAGAAACTTGACCAGTCGCGCGATCAACGGCGAAGAAGTCCTGCGAGTATATCAATTGACAGAAATGTTCTATTACGGGAATCTAATATATCATCATCAAATGAAGCATCAGATTGATACCTTGAACGATTTACTGTCATTGACCTGTTGGCCGTTTCTATCGATCGCTGTAATTGGCTCTGAAATTGCGAAGTTTAATGCTTCCGAGTTGGCGCTGTCTGGATCTGTAGCTTTTAACGTCGTGAAGACAGTGCCAATGGGCGTGTCTTCCGTAACTTCGGCTCTTTGGGTCTCTGGTGTAAAATAGGGCGCTTTGTCGTTGCTATTCTCAACGTTTATCATTAATGTCGTTGTTCCGGTTAAACTAGGAGTTCCTAATCGTAAAAAGATTGACGATGAAATTGTGAAAAAAGAAAGTACGGTGGCTTGACTGTATTTGTATTTCATGAACACTCTGCTTTGTATTACTTTTACATATTACACCTGTTTTTGTGAAATATATCAATTGAAAGGGAACAAAACGAATGACGTTTGCTTGTTTGAATAAAAAGTCGTCTTCACGTACCCTTGTCGAATGCTATAACTTCCACGTGATACGTATTTTTGTTGTCGTAGTCTAGTTTCCTAAACACCGTTACGACCCCCGTTGTTTCGTTAATGGTGAAGTCGTCGAAAGCACCTTTTTGTATTCTGTAAACGAGTTGTGCATTGATACCTGTGTCAGCATCGGTCGCTGTAACTTCTTCCACCACCGTTCCTGAAACACGTCGAATTAGAAAATTTCATGAAACGCGATGAACAGGGGATGACTACCTATTGAAGACTATAAACCAATCGACGTACCAATTGGCGATATTTCTGGTATGCTCGCGGTATAAAGTTCTTGAGTGAAGACAGGCGCGTTGTTGTTCACATCGCGGATCGTAATGTTAACGGTGGCGGAATCGACGAAAATCCCATCGCTTGCTTGTATGATAAGCGCGATCCAATCGTGGGTGGAATTCGTTAGATCGACTCGTCCCTTGTTCCTTATCGTAATTTCACCGGTGTCTTGATCTATAGCGAAATGCCCTGACTTGTCGCCACCCACGATCACATACGTAATCTTCGACGTTTTGTCTTTATCCCGGGCCTGTACCTTCAAGTCGGGCTCGAATTTTTCAGCTCCTTCGTCTATCACGGCGCGGTATTTGTCTTGCAAAAATCGCGGTGGACTGTCATTGGCGTCCGATAGACTGATACGCAACGAAACGCTGGTCGTTTGCCCTTGCCCGTCGTTATCGGTGGCCTGAAAAACGATGAAAATGACAACTGATGAAGAAAGAAATTTGAATATTTGTGCGTTTAAGGAAAATCTAAGGCTACAGAAATATCTAGACTGTACTGCAATTTTGATTGTGATAAAAAGTAGAATGATAACTAAATATTAATCCATATGTACAATACAAAAATATCCAGATTATATTGTATTATACTTTTGATTGTGATACAGAAATATCTAGACTGTACTGCACCTTTGATTGTGCTAAAAAGTAAAATGATAACTAAATATTAATCCATATGTACAATGTAAAAATATCTAGATTATATTGTATTACACTTTGATTGTGATACAGAAATATCTAGACTGTACTGCATCTTTGATTGTGCTAAAAAGTAAAATGATAACTAAATATTAATCCATATGTAC